AAGTAATAAAAAAACAAAACAAAAAGCAATAGTAGAAAGCAAAAAAAAAAACAAACAAAATACCAAACACGATGCTATAATTTAATTAGAATTCATCTTTTATAATAGAATGTAAAAATTAAATTACATTTGAGAAAGTTTTCCATCAGACAGCCCTTTTGAGATGCCTTCTTTAGATAGAAGACTTTTAAAACTCTTTGAAACTTTTAAAGGTAACCTTTGAAAGGCCTTGCCATAATTAAGAGGTCTTCGAAAGGTAAAAAAAACTTTGTCATACCGATTGCAAACACCTGGAAATTGAAATCAATATCTACATTTAGAAGACCTTTGGGAATCCTTCTGTATATAACCTTTGAGATTTTCTACAGATTGATGAAGGCCTTAGATAGAAGAGCTTTGAGAGGCCTTCTATAAAAAGACGACGTTTGAGATGCCTTTCAAACGTAGAAGTCCTTTGAGGCATCCTGCATAAATATAAAAATCCTAAGAAGTCTTTTTAGCCAGAAAAAAACGTATATAATTAGAATAACTTTGGGAGGCCTTCTATACATAAAAGACCTTTGGGAGGCCTTTTATACATAGAAGACCTTTGGGAGGCCTTCTATACATAGAAGACCTTTGGGAGGCCTTCTATACATAGAAGACCTTTGGGAGGCCTTCTATACATAGAATACCTTTGGGAGGCCTTCTATACATAGAAGACCTTTGGGAGGCCTTTTATACACAGAAGACCTTTGGGAGGCCTTCAATACATAGATAGAAGGCCTTTGGGAGGCCTTCTATACATAGATAGAAGACCTATGGGAGTACTTCTATACATAGAATACCTTTGGCAGGCCTTCTATACACGGAAAACCTTTCGAAGGCCGTCTATACCCAGATAACCTCTCGGAGGCCTACTATACATACTATCTGTATAAGACCTTTATGAGACCTTCTGTAGATAGAAAACCTTTTATATACAGAAGATGCTTAACCCTTTCAGTGTTTTTGTCGAATATATTCGACATTTAAAAGTACTCTCTTTATTTGCGATTCTTCGGTTATCGTTACTATTGATGTTTTTGTTTTTGCTGAAAGACAAACGAAACTGACCGAGGGTTAAAATGATAATTGCTATTTTTTCTAAACTATGTGTTTTTATATGATCTTAAATATAAAATTTTAGATTTTTATTCCGGAAAGCTTTAAACGTTCTGTGAAAGGTCATAAAAAGATAGAGAACATTTCTGGTACCTTCTACAGATAATCTTAAAAAGTTAGGTCATAATATAAATAAACCTAAATATACGTTTTCCATTAATACTGCGAGTGTATGATATATATTTCTCACAAAGGTCTATAGAAGTTCATGGAAAAGTATTTTATATTATGAAGTTATAGGAAGCCATTGAAAAATCTATTAATTTTTATAGCATCGTGTTTCAGTATAATTTTTATTTTAAAACATATACAAAATTTTCAAAGAACCATTTTTTCGATACGATTATTATAGCGAAATAAGGATTAGACAACAAAAACCAATGATTCGAATGTTAAAAATAAAATAAAAAAATTTTTAAATTTGGTTCGTTTTCTTTTGTGATATCTCTATGTATGTAATGTAGAGTGTGTGTCTGTATGAGTGAGTGAGAGTGTGATGGATGCGTGTAAGTGCGTGTGTGTTTATTATCCTCCTTATTATCATAGATTACGTACAAAACTAAGTAAAATTGTTTGTATGTATGTTGACTGTGTGTGTGCGTTTATTGTGATTGTGTGCCTCTGTATCGTATCACTTTAAATTAATTGTTTTATTTAATAAAAAAATAGTATTGTTTTTTTCACAAGTAAAAAATTAATATTTTCATTTAAACAATTATACGTTTTCCTGCTTTATTGGTACTCCTTCTTAAATATATTAATAAATGCAACATAACAAAATCTTAAAATATTTGTTCCTATATTTTTTTTTCAAATCCACATACAAAGTAACACTTTTTTTTATCAGAGGAACTTAATTTAGTCTTTCTTTTCTTGTAATAATTTGAAATAAAATATAAGATTTATTCAAATGAAATAATAAAACATATTGTAATTTGTATGACTGATAGTATGTACGTTCAAAACAATTTTATGTGTGTGAAAACAAAAAAAAATAAAGAATCATTTTTTTCTTTCGACGCAAACAATGAAAAGTGTTTTATTTTTTTCCAATGTCTACATCTTAATGGTCTTTCATATAGATGAATCACTCTTGGACCTTGGGCCTGATACTCGTATATGAAATAAATTGAAATAAATAAAATAAGTATATAATTATAAAAGACTTGTCTATATACAATTTTGAAAATCATATGCGATAATCTGCTTTCATTCTTCGTCTTACAACAACTTACAAAATTGAGAAAGTATTTGAGATCAAAATTCTAAGGAACGCATTTTGGAATGCATCGGAGCTTCTTAGGGATTATGTTCTATCTATAATAGATTTACGTTGAAAACAGCTTGTGGCGTACCGGGCCCCTAGAAATATACCCCAAAACAATTCTAAATCTACAGTCACAGGATATTTAATAACTACATATCTCCTTTCCTTGTCTTCAAAGATTTCATCTTATTAATACTGGACAATTGGCCTGTTTGTTGTTGTAACAGCTTGTACTGCTGTGCATTTCTTCTTATTCTCCTTAATCTGGTTCTGCTTCTAACTCCAAGGTCAGGAAGGCTGCGACCTGTATCGGTTGAGTCCAAAGAGAAGATGGGGTTAGGTGAATTTGTTTGGCTGGGCAGTTGAATATGTGTGTATGTGTCATGTGGCCCATTATCACATTCCGGGCAGATATTATCGGCCTCTCCGTCAATTCATGCCCAATATGAACTGAGGCGGATCTGTCGAGTTGGCTGCTGTTCTTCTGCAGCTATCGAAGGCTGGCGATCTCCGAGGATTGTTTCCACACGATATTCTCGAATTGCTTACTCAACTGCATACGTCTGAATAGGATTCAATTCTACTTGATAAGCCTGTTGATCTAGAGGCTCCCTTTCGTGCCTTTGGACCTCTCTCTCTCCAGATAATGAAGATCCTTCCTGACATTCCCAGGTGGTGGGTGCTATCCATTAGGTAATGCATTGCTACTTCTATAACACCCAAGCAGGTATTGCATCGACAACATCTTGTTGTGTTGACGCACAGGAAGTATATTCGTCTCCTCAGTTTAGTGGTCTATTGGAGTCATGAGGAGACACCCTATTGCAGTCCTCAGTGCGGCATTCTGGCAGGATTGAAGACTTTTCCACTGCGTTGCGTTGACGTTAGCGGGCCACACTTGCGCCGCATAGTTTACCTTAGACCGGCCTGTTGCTGCGTATGTCGCTAACAAGGTTTCTCAAACAGCTCCCCAAGTGCTGCCGGCTAGCGACTTGAAAACCATGTTTCTGCTCCTGATCCTATCGCAAATAGCTGTGTCATGCGCGGACGAACCTTGAGGTAATTGGTGGTCGGAATTGTGGACCCATCGACTTGCACATTCAAATATAGCTGCATCTCCGCTGTCCATGTGGTGAACAGTGTGGGCGTTGACTTAGTGAACAATTGCAATATCCACCAGATGGTGGTTCAACCTCTCGCAAATATCATCAATTTTAGGTCCTGACGCCATAAATCACGCCAATCATCTGCATATGTTACGATCTTTATGACGTCCGGTGGGCGTGGAATTCCAGAGAGGTAGAGGTTAAACAGTTCCGGAGATATCACCCCTCCTAGGGGAAACTCCCTGTTTAACTCTATGGGCCTTCGACTTCCAGTCTCTGATTTCCACGTACGACTGGCGTCCACACATATAGTTCACGATCCAACGTTTCAAACTTGGCTGAAGGGTTGTTCTCTTGACGTGCTCAAACAGCTTGGCGTGACTGATGGTATCAAATGCCTTTGATAGGTCCAGCGCCACCATGACTGTCGGCCCGTTTTGGTTCAGTCCTTCCGCTATGTGCGTGAAAACGGCGTGCAATGCTGTTGTTGTACTAAGCTGCTTCCGGAACCAATGTTGATGATCAGCAACTGAGTAGCATTCACGAATGCTAGGGAGTAGTAAAGCCTCAAGTGTCTTAGCTACTGGCGACAGGCCTCTAACATGCATCCGATATCGGCGTAAACCCTAAATTTATACATCAATCTATACCATGGATTTTTAATATAAATTGGGTACATCTCTTTTTCGACTGAAGTTTTTAAATTACTGTTTTCGCAAAAGTTTAAAATCCGTATAAGGTCATTTATTTAAATGGTAAAATAGTAAAGCCTCAAGTGCAATTAAATCCGCGATTTCCGTTCTATTAGATTTTCACGAAGAAGATTGTATTGTATGCGAACATAAAAAATCTTATCAAATGACAGACATACAAATTTCGCCGAAAAATAAGTTTTTTAGAAAAAAAGTTCACTTTTGGATGGACCCAAAAAATACATCGAAAAAAAGTTCTACTTCGAGAAAGCTATATTGAGGAACCTGGATGCAGAACATCACCAGCTGAACGGTGAGCTATACACGCAAATGTAAATCATAAATTTCCCATGCGATGATGAAGAAGAAACGGATGCGATTGTATGTTTGCTATATACGATATTGAGACTCTTAATATATTTCTCCCATGGTCGATTTAACAAATCTAAGCTCAAACCCCTTCGGTTTTTCCTTTTTATTACTCTTCCGACTGTGCGATAAAAATTAAAAAATCTTGAAATTTTTGTGTAATGTAAACATGTTACAATTTCACACATGTTAGAACGTACATGTTTTTACATACGTTACGTTGCCAATAACTCCAAAAACAATATGGCAAAAAAAAACATTTAAATATTGACAATAATTCCAACCATGTGGCAACATGCTTTACACAATTGTTTACCGTTATATTTTTTGTTTTTGTAATAGTTCAGCTCGTTCGCTTCGTCCCGCACAGTCGTGTTTATCGTTTGTCCACCTGTCCATCCATTTTAATTTTTTGGGTTTCAATATGTCTACCCCGGCGCCAAAATATTCTATTGGATTTGAAGAATTACAATCGAAAGAACATCTCCTGTGGAAATCAATCCTAGCCGAATTCTTGGGAAATTTCATTTTGAATTTCTTTGCCATTGGTGCCTGTACCCAGCCGGAGGATGGAACATTCAAGGCATTCTCATTTGGCTTTAGTATTTACATGGGCATAACCATAGTGGGTTATCTCAGTGGTGGACATATAAATCCAGCTGTATCCGTTGCCATGGCCCTGGCTGGTCGTATAAGTCTTATTCGCATGCTTTTGTATATTGTGGCTCAATGTATGGGTTCGGCAGCTGGTACATGTGTACTTAAAAATCTGCTAGACGAGGCGTATCATAATGGTTTGGGTCACACAACATTGGCGGAAAATATTTCAGAGCTTCAGGGTCTAGGTATTGAATTTATACTTGGTCTGCTGCTGGTTCTAACCGTGTTTGGAGCATGCGATGCAGCTAAACCGGATAATAAATTTATTGCACCCTTTAGTATTGGTATGGCGGTAACACTTGGTCATCTGGGTACGATACGTTATACCGGAACTGGTATGAATCCTGCACGGGCATTTGGTACAGCTTTTGCCACAGATAATTGGCAGTCACATTGGGTATATTGGGCCGGACCCATATTGGGTGGCATTGTTGCATGCATGATTTATTCACAGATTTTGGAGAAGCCCACCGTCCCACCAAAACCCATTGAAGCTTCGGATAAGTATCGTATTCATGCCTATGAACGTGAAATGAAGAAATTGGAAATTTCTAGAGATTTTGCATAAATCGCCTAATTGTTTTTCTGTATATATTTTGTTGCATTCATTTATAATGAAAGATCGTTTGTTTATATTTATTTTGTTATTTTTTGATGCATGTATTAATATTTTTTTTTAAATTTTGTAAATAAAAAATGATATTGTTTATTAATATTTTATTATACTTGTAATTATTTGCTATTTATATATTAGCAGTGTTGAAATTATTAAGGAAATTAACAGATATATTCCATTAAGCCTATTTTTTAGAGCATGGGCCCGATTGAGGAGCATTTGAATATTTTTGCATGTAGCAAATGAAGAAACAATACAGGTCCATATTCTGGCTTCTTATATCATCTAAAAAATTGTATAGATTGTATGAAAATCCATACTGAATGAGCCATCGGGGTACAGACACTACCATCCTTATTCTGGATATTCTCCATACTGAATGAGCCATCGGGGTACAGACACTAACATCCTTATTCTGGATATTCTCTAGGGAGAGATCTCGCTTGTGTAAAATTTTTCGCTTTCACATCTCGCCTTACTCTGAATGAATAGGAAGAAGAAAATATGCGAGATGCGGATTCGAATTTTCGAAAATTGTGGTTGAAAAAAATATTCGTGTTGTCATATACAGCCTTATTCTGGATGTCAATTCCACGTGAATTTACTCACTCTTCCCCTTGAACTTATTCTGAACAACATTTTCCTGTGAATTTTATCGCATTATCGCTTTCGCCTTATTCTAAATGAAGTTCGAAAGCGAAAAAATCTGTTTTGGGGACAAATTAGGTATTCTGGATTACAGGAAGTAGGAGAATGAGATGAAATTTTGTGCGAAATTTTTCGCTAATAAATTCAAAGGGAGCTGACTACAAAAACATAAGTAATAAATATTTTTATGAAAAATATTTACACATTACTTATTTTATGACGATTTAGAATATTATAAATGATGGTAAGCTAATTTTTATCTGGAAAACAACAAATAAAATGTCATTGGAAATGACATTTTGAAAACGATGCATGCTGAATCAAATATTGCCAAGGAATGTATAAAGGTAATATGGAATATTTAAGTCGAGTTTGATGCATTTTGGAGGCGAAATACAGACATTTTGGGTGAGGACCTGTCTCTCTGTGTCTCAAGAAAAAAAACTTTAATAAAAACTATGAAAGAACAAAAATAAAGCTACAAAAAATATTTTTTTATTTTTCAAAATTATCGTGTGCATGATTTGAAGGAAGAAATAAAGGAGTAGGAGCAAATCATAACATAACTGTCCACTTTAAGAATTTGAGGAGATAAAATATCGAAATTAAATAAAAAGGCACACAATTATGTAGTGAACTAATAAACTGTTGTGTGTTTTTGTCATCATAAAAAATGTTCTTTTATTTGTAATTTATTGTAGTTGTTGCACCAAATTGCATCAAAACAATAAACAGCTTTTTCACACGCCATATTGTAGGTCGCCATATTTTCAAACTTTAATTTAGTTTCTTTTAATTAAAAGGATTTATACAACTGATTCTTGATATTTCACAGTTGTATTGTTATAAAGTTTAAACAGCAATAAAAAAGTAACAATTTTTTTTTTTTTTTGGGGAGGGGGCAAAACACATTACAACTTAAATTACAACATGGCAACACGAATCTATTTTAACTACCATTACGAAAACTCGAATCCGCATCTCGCATTTTTTTCGTCTCCCTATTCATTCAGAACAAGGCCAGAATGTGAAAGCGATTTGTTTACATGCGAAATATCTCCCTAGCGAATATCCAAAATAAGGCTGATTGAGTAAAAGAGAAATGATTGTCTCTATTATCACGTAATACCTAGTATTTATGCAAAATTCATACTTCCGGACTTAAAAATCGAATTAATGTAACAAGGAAGCTTGAGTTTATGAGCGTGAGACACCAGGGGTACGGGACACCAGATGAGATAATTCTGCTTAAACCACATGTAATAAACTCCGCCTGATTAGTCAAACATGTAGCAGTCCTACTGGTTTCACACAATGATGAAACTTCGTGTACCCCACGTAGTAAACAATTTTAGATTCTTGCATTACGGGAACAAACCATGTATGTATGCTCATTTGCTAGTCGGTTGAAACTCGTGAAAATTCAAAATTAATACAGTCATATGTTTCCAATTTTTTCATAATTTTGCCTTTGGTAACATTCAGTTTTCAAAATTTAAATGAAAATATCTTTCTTCGAAATGTACGCATGTCAAGTGTACAGTGGCAAAAATTGCCACATAATTTATATTTATAAATATTTGGATGTTCCCTGCCTCTAAAACTTATAAATATAAGATATAATAACTCTAGTTAAATCTTGAGAGCAATTTTCAGCTTTAGAAATTATATTTTGTTTAATTTATTGAAACTTATTTAAAGAGAATTCAATATTAGCTGTGTTCCCAAACCTGCAATATAGTACCTTACGCCGAAAAGTAGGAAAAATTGAAGTTAAATTTTGCAAGACCAATTTGGCCTAGCACGAAATAGTAAAGGTAGTAAATTATGAATTTGACATTTGATTGCCAGAGATATAGAGTCCGAAATAAAGCATATGAAAGTTAGGGCTTCAACAAAAGGGATACACGCACAGACGCACACACATAAAAAAAAAAAAAAAACAAATAAGAAATTTAAAAATGGACAGTTCAATATATACACTGCAACATTACACGGTGTCGAGGATAGCAGAACGCAGATTTTTCAATATGCTGATGATTTCCTAATCATGGTATTTGACAAGGACTTTGACGTCGCGCTTGCACATCTACAAAGGAAAGCGAGTGAATTTTATAGGAAATGCGGAGATATTAATCTATCTTTTAACCCAGATAAGTCTAATTCTATTTACTTTGCAAAAAACAGCACTAAACAAATTATGCTGAATATAAATGGTTGTGGAATTCAGTAAGTTAAGAAACTAAAATTTCTGGGAAGAATTATTTCAAATTCGATGGCTGTCAAAGATCACTATTTACATATAAATGAAGCGGCAAAAAGTAGAACCAGATTGTTAAAATGCTTAACAGCGATCAAAGGTGGGTTGCATCCAAAGGTATCGCTGAATGTGTACAAAGCGCTCGTTAGGTCAAAAATTGAATATGGAAGAACGACAATGGCGAACGCGCCGGCATATATAAACAAAGGCTTTGAGCGGCTACAGAATGAAATGATAAGAAGATCCCTGGGTGTGGCAAAATCGTCTCCCACTCATGTGATTTATGCTCTGGCTGGTGAACTGCCTCCTAAATATAGGGCTAAGCTCCTCACTGCCAAAGAAATTGTCAAAATCATTTGGAGCAACAGTAAGCTATATGATATTGTAGCGAACAACCCTCTAGTAAAATCTAGCTACAGCGCTGTTTATCACGAATTTTCGGACATTTTTCAAAAAATTAAAAGATGCTCATTCTCCCGTCAGCAGTCTTTGACGGTAAGATATAATCTCCTGCCATCTAACAAAAACAACATCTCTGATGAAATTATATGGTCTATTTTCAATCGTGAACTCTCTTACTACAAGAGTAATAAGTTTTTTATTTTTGCAACAGATGCCTCGGTAAATGAATCAACCACAGGCTGTGGTGTGTTCAATGTTTCGCTGGATCATAAATACCTATTTAAACTGGATTTCAAGTCCTCTTCCACGTTTGGTGAGCTTTTCGCGGTTAAAAAAGCTCTTGAAATTGCGGCTGAGGATGGATGTGAGAAATGTGTGATCTTCACAGATAGTCTAGCTACGTGTAAGTCACTAGAATCGGAAGATACGTATAATTATCTGGTGGCTGAGTGCCACAACATTTTAAAGGCATCATTTATTGAGAAATGTCATGTGGTATGGATTCCAGGTCACAGAGGCATAAAAATAAACGAAGAGGTTGATTGGCTGGCGAAGCAGGCGGCGGATGTAGGTGCTCCCCTAGAATGGAGCCTAACGCCTAAGGAAGCTCTTGCGAGAATTGAAAACAGAATCAAGGCTGACTGGAATGATGAATTTAACTCCTGTTCGCAGTCAAAAGGCCGTTATTTTTATCAGTTTACCAACTCTATCTTTGAACAACCATGGTATAAAAATATGAACTTTGGCCCGGGTGACACAAAACTTTTAAACAGGTTACTCGTGGGTCATGCTTATGATAAAGTATATTTGCACCGGATAGGAGCTGTTGAATCAAGCCTTTGTCTGGTATGTCATGCACCTGAAAGTGCTCAGCACTGTATATTCGAATGTATGAAATTTGATAATGTGAGATTGAAATATCCCCTCCTCTTCTCCCAACATCATGGACTGATTCCTATCCTACAATCTAAGGATCCTGTCCTCTATAACCTCCTCCTAAAATTTATTAAAGAAACAAAAATTCAACTGTGATTCCATAAATCCTTCACAATGTGATATATACTGTGATATTAATATTAAGTCTGTTTTTTTATTTCTTTTTCTATTCCTTTTTTCTTTCTTTTTCCATTTTATAAATAAACACTGCTCTTGAATCCCACTCCACTTTTTTGTCCCATCATCCCCTCGCACCTAACACTCCTTTTAGGCACTACTGGATCTCAACATAGAACATTCGGATTGATACTCATAGCCAATTTTGGGTTAGTGCCCTATCGATTTGAACACCACTTTTATGTAATCAGCGATAAACTTTGCTCCTACAAAGAAGCTACCGCTCAACCAGGTTATCGTGAGTTAATGTTTATTTTGTATATCAACTACTTTATTTTTCGTACTAAAGTACCAAAAGTACTATCGTTTTATCTATTTTTTATTTTCCTTACGGGCGATCAAGCAGTAATTTTGGAGTCCTATTTTGGAAAGATCGAAGCAAATTGAAGTGATTGAGGAACAGCTGTGAATACAACCTGGCGCCGCTTACATTTTGAATCCAGAGGATCGCCAACCACTCCCTCTCTCTCGATGAGGGAAGCTTAGCGGAAAAGTTCAAAAAAAAAAAAAAAATGGACAAACAGTTTTTTTATTCTCTTTTCAATGAAGATGAATGTCTGGCAGAAGATTCAGATGAAGATACTATAGAATGAAGACTTCGGTTGGTCAATCGTACCAAAATATCTTGGGCTTAAGACAAGTTTAGGGGCTCCACTTGGATCGCTTTGACATTTTTACAGTAAGTAGTCCTCGGTGAACTATTTACAGTGATACTTCCCGAGATATGGGCCTTGAAAGTTCGGAGAGTATGTTGTTTTAATTAGCCGTATCATTTTAAAGGTTATAGTTTGTGTTATATAACTAGAAGAAGAATATATTGCGTAGCCATGTATAAGCCTGTCCATATGTGAATGTCTTATTCTTAAGTTCTCTAAAAAATACGCGGTATAACCTTTTAATGATACCCATATTGCCTTGGTGGCAATAGAAAAAGGGTTCTTTAAACAAAATATGTTCCGAAATATCAAGACCAATATCTCGGGAAGTATACATTTTCCCATATGAAATGTATATCACTGTAATCCGTGCAAGGAGGGCTACTTACGGTAATCATTTCAAAATGATCCGAATCGAGCCCCTAAACTTGACTTGTTCCATATCTTGTTGTTCTAGTTCGCATAATATATACCAATTTCAATAGCATTAACATTATGGGAGCGTCCAGCCATGTAAGCCTTTCCGGGCTCGGAAACTCCACTTCCAAATATTCGATAAGGCTTTCCTCTAAATTATACAAATAAAATACATAAACAATATTTATATTATCAAAATCACGCAATGGACGCCGTTTAACTTTTTGTGTGCATTAGGTTTCTGTAGTCTTTTTTTCGTCCTTAACAAATGAAATTTTTGATTTTGACATTTCTTCATGTTTTAACTATTTTTCGTTCCTTTACTTTTTGCGCAAATCTTGTATGTGAGAGTAATTTTTGATAGTTCGCTCTTTTACTAGCTTTACTATCAAAAGGTACGGGAACGAACCTATTTTATTTGGTGTAAATAATAATAATAATTAAAATAACGAACATATTTTTATTTACATAAAACACTTTCAATGTAAACATAGCATAAACCCATCTCGGCATTCGATTTATTCATCGTGCATGTCTGATAAAAGTCATGCAGTTGTCGGCCATCCCTCTACACGACACGAACAATCTGGCAACATTATGCCACGGTGACGTTTCTGAAATATAGAAAAAATAAGAAGTTAGGAAAAAAGGTAATTTTTTTTAACGACGACGAATAAAGAAACGGATATTTCGCTAAATTGCTATATATTTTAATAAAATTTCCTTTGCAAGTAATGACAAAAATCGTTGAATTTTGCAATTAATATTTTATGCTGCTTTGTGTGTGTGTGTGGTGGTTGGTGTTTTTTTTGTTGAAGATTGTCGTAGAATATAATTATTGCTTTACAAAACAGAAATATTTCATTCCCTTAACATTACACACATGTTTTGTCTACGTAGGCCCCAAATTGTAGCTGAAAAGGAATACAAAAACAGAACAACATAAAAAGCGTATTTGTTTAAATACAACAAATTGACTGATTCTCGTTTGTCGGTGTCCACTCATCACCGTCACTCAAGAAGACGAACAACAACAACATCGTCTTCATAATTATCTACTTTGGAATACAGAGAAGAAAACACTTGAGTTAAGGTGCGGAAGGCATAAACGTAAACGTCATTTCCTCGGTGGTGTTTGGGGTGGAAAGGAGATATTCGTTAGTAGTGGCAAAATTTATATCTAAATAACTTCGACTAGATCTAAGAACAGACAAAATGTTGACCAGCCAGCAAAATAGCTGGCAAAAACATCGCCATCATCGCACAGCCAAATATACCCTGTGCTTGGTATTGTTGTTGCAGTTTGTCACAGTCAGTCATCAATTTTATTTGCCGGGTCTAGCACCCGTAAACTATTGCATGAAGTCTGATGCATCCAGTAATTGCAAGGTAAGTTAATAGAAATGACTCAGTGATGTGGATTTTGTGTTTGCCGATTTGATTTCAAAAACAAAAAGCGTCTACTACCACTTCTAATGATAAGAAATTTCCGCATTTTTTTCGTTCTCTTTAATTTATGAATTCTTCTTATCTTGACACCAACAAACTACTCAATTAGTTTGCGACATAGTTTTTTAATTTAATTTTTTTTCAGTATTTTATCATAGATAAGTTTCATTTGTTGTTATGGGATTTTGTTCTTGGTTTATAAAGAGAACAAAAAGAAAAAACAAAAAAAAAAAAGAGATAAAATTTTAGGTTCTTTGGAATAACGTTAAGAAACAATATTTATTGAATTGTTTTTTTTAATCCTTTCTAATCTTATAGTGTGATAACTCATTTGTAATTGGTCATATATTGGAAAAAGTTTAGTTTATAGCCCGATTGCAGATTGTTTTGAAATATTTCAAACATTTATTCCTGTGTGCAGAAATCCTTATTTTCTGAGATATGGGTCTCCAAAGTTTCGTTGATACCCCTGACTTTCCCACGGCTTTTTAATATCAAATCATTAAATATCAATTTAATGCTTTCTTAGATATCGGCTTCCAAAATTCTTAAGGCTGTTATATAGATTTTTTCCTGTGGACAAAATCTCCCACACCTGCCCGATCTATACGATAATATATGTACACTATTAACTGAATGGAACATATAATTAGATGAAACTTAAATTTTAGAAAAAAAAACGACAGAAGCGGAGTACAAAAACTGTATTTTTTTTTTCTTTACTGTTTTTGAAACTCCATATCACTACTCTTTACAATAGTTAATAGTAGAGGGGTTTGTTTATTCAGCCTTTCAATAATAGTCAAATTATTAAGAACACTGGGGAATAACAAAAATAATCATATTTTATAACTCTATTCGAAGACCTATGACCCATTGTGATAACCCTAAAGACGTTGTAAGGAGAGAAAATAAAAGAAGATAGTTCGGCAAGTCGACAGCTCATCCGCCGTGGAGTTATACTACAGTGAATGGGTATGGAAAGTGTGACTTAAATCAAAAAACTGGCGGGATCTTTTTTTAGGGGACACTAGCTTACACCCACTACTTTGTTAGCGAACGTGTTAATTATTTAAACATATTATTTTCTTTTCACAGATAGCAGCATAGTCAGAAGAGCTAGTCAAACTACACTCCAATATTGACCATAATTACCTAATTTTAATACAAATTAGTTTCTTTGTTCCTAATTACGTACATACTTAGCTGGGTTGTGATAGATCTTTCGTTCCATAAGCCGAATTAGAAAATATTTCCTGGCGCGTTGGTCTTTTGCGCAGTTTTTCCAATTTGAAAGACCATTTTCGGCAATGTTGTCTTCGACTTGATCTTTCCGTCGCATTCTTGGCCTTCCCCTTCTGCGTGAATCATCAGCTTTTATATGCCCTCTGGGCTGGGACATCTTCATCCATTCTCACAACATGACCTAGCCAACGTAATCGCTGCAGTTCAATACGTCTAACAATGTCGATGTCCGAGAATAGCTGTTACAACTCATGGTTCATTCGACGGCGATATTCACCGTCAACGCAGATCGCAGATCTTTCGGAGAATTTTTCTCTCAAACACTCCAAGAGCTGCCTCACCTGCTTGCGCAAGTACCCATGCTTCAGATCCATATATCAGCAAGGCCACCTCTGCCGGGATGTGGCCTTGCTTTTGAGTTGTTTGCTCAAACCATAGTAGCATCTGTTGGCCATCACTATCCTTCTCCGAATTTCAAAACTGAGGTTATTAGTTTTATTTATGGCGCTATCGAGGTATATAAAATTTGACTACCTCGAAGATGTAGTTCTCAAGTTCCACAGTTGGTTCGAGTCAACTGAACGTCTCGCGCATCTTGAGCGTGGTCTTCTCGCCATTTACTGCCAGACCCACTTTGGCAGACTCCTTCTCAATTTGTTCAAAGGTGGCTGTTACCGCTTGCAATGTTCGACCCAATATGTCGATGTCATCGGCGTAGGCGAGTAGCATGTGTTGTTTGGTGTACAGAATGCCATTTCTGTTCACCTTTGCGTGTCGTATCACATTTTTCCAGCAGTATGTTAAAAATATCACATGACAAACTGTCACCATGTCTGAATCCTCGTTCGTTTTTTAAAGGGCTCAGATAGGTTATTTCCGACTTTGACTGCTGATCTTGTGCTATTTATAGTTATCCTGTATAGCCGTATTAATTTTACAGGAATGCCAAACGCAGACATGGCTTTAAAAGCCTCTGAGCGGATTGGGCTGTCGAATGCACCATTTACATTAAATTGGACGAAAATATATATGCGAGCTATATTTAAATTTGATCCGATTTTCTCGAAACTTAACACAAGCCATTCTAGACATAATTCAGTACACTATGCAAAATTTCGTAAAAATCGAACGATATATAATGACGTTGGTGTACCATTTACAAAAAATCGAAGGAAAATATATACATATTTAAGCTATATCGAAATCTGAATAGCTTTTCACCAATTTCAATAGGGTTCGTTCTTGGGCCAAATAAGTGACCTATACCAAATTTCATCCAAATCGGATTTTAAATGCGACCTGTACTTTGTTTACAATTTAACATCAACAGACTGACGGATATAAACCGACTATGTATATACTCATATGCATACGCATCTCTATCTCGATTCCTTTTGCCTGTTACAAACATATGCACAAAGACATAATACCCTGTACCACAGTGTGGTGAAGGGTATAAAAACAGACAACAATTACGATTTTGGTTCATTTCAAAATTTTCTGAGATATGCCCGTAAAGAAAAATGTTTTCCAAACAAAATAAAAAATGGGTATTTTTATGTATGAAAGGATGGTAGGGGAGAGAGGGGGGCACCTTTGAACACCTTTTTCATTCAAGGCTTATAACATTTTTTATTTTGTAATTTTTGGTTTCTTATAAATTTTAACTAATAGGTACATATGTAACCTTTAAAATAATATACATATGACATACTTTAAGCTTGATAAATATATTTTATTACTGTTTTAATGGACGAAGTCAAAGCATGAAGTCAGGCATTTTGGAACGACATGGTTTTTTACAGTGTTTATGTTCAAATATGTATGTATTTTATCCATACATATCAGAAATGCATTTATTTATTAAAAAATATATACAAAAAGTTTCGAAAATTAAAAAATTCAAATCAAAATCTTTTAAAATATAAAATGACTTAAAAACAAAAATTAATATGGTGAAAAATACAGTCAATTTCGTAATCTTATTAGCCCATTTGAAATTTTGAGAAATCGAAACCAAAAGTTAAAAACTCCGTTTTTTACTGGAGTTTATCGCGCATATTCAAAGGTGTCCCACCTGTGGCATTTTACGGAAATTTATAATAATTGTTTTGTAGAAAATATATATGAAAGAAAATACATTAGTTATGTTTGAAATGATTGCTGGAATGCAAAACAAATTGTTTATCGAAAGAAAACGATCAACGAATTCTTCCTGCGCCCTTACAACCAAGAGATTAAAAGTTTACAATTGCACTGCGAAAACATGGTCACCCATGCACAATTTGTCGACAACTGAAAAAGCTAGCAGATAGAGAACAAGATTGCCATATACAAAAATGTGGTTGCGGGTCGGAAAAATTTTAAACCGAGATTTTAAGAGCGCTGTTCAAAGGTGCCCCCCTCCCCCTATATAAAATCATTTAACTAATTATTCTAGCTAATAATTACTAACTAATCACGTAATCTCCCTTTAATTACATCTGTCCTTACTGATCAAAGGCGAGAAAGTATTTTACCAATACAAATGCGTTGTAGACCCCATTAAGTAAATATCTTTGATTAAGAAAAAATTCTCAAACAATTTACAAAAGTCCGCCCATCTGTCCTTCAAAAACTAATGTGCTTTCATTTTAAACACTAGTCGAATTTGTACTTCTCAATTTATGTTCTCACATATTCATATTACTGATTATATTCTCGTTTCTAAAGCATTTAACAATTTTTTGAATGCACAATAAACTTGTTGACAATGAACATATTTGTTATAAAATTTAAGTTTCTGACCCTTTTAATCTTCTGAGTTACCTACCTACCTTGGTTTTGGAATATGCTTTTGATAGTAAAGTTGACCCGCCGCTTTATGTCTTCGCAAGGCAAATGTTATGGCGTTGTTAGCATTTAATAAAATTACAATTTGTATTATAATTTTTGTTTATTAAGTGGACGCACTTTTGTTTCTGGGCAAAGAAATAATAATATCACTATTGCCATGTTGTGGGAGACTTAAACAAAATTGTGGAGAACTTTCCTATAGAAATTAAAAAATCATCAATTGTCATTCTTTTTCGCAGATATAGTGTAATATATATATATACTTCTTCAATCTTCTATAAAATATAGATAATTTTTTCCCTTTGTTTATTTTAATATAGATTGATCTTGTTTCTTTATTTGAAATATTTATAAACAAATTTTAATTGTATTGTTTTTGTATTTTCCTTCTTCTTTTTTTTGTTGCAGTCTAATGTTACCCTCTATGTTAATCGCTTGAACACCGAAGAATCTGTTATCCCCTATGAATATCATCATTTTGATTTTTGTATTGGCAATGAAAACAATTCGCCAGTCGAGAATTTGGGCCAAGTTGTATTTGGTGAACGTATACGTCCCGGCCCATATAAAATCAATTTCCTTGAAGACATCAAATGTAAGGCGGTAAGTACATTTCAACATTTTATATCTATTTTGATTGTTTGATGATAACCATCTAATCAATGTTGTATTTTTTTATGGAAACGTGTTATAACACGTGAACATATATTTGATATAGAATATTGAAGTTGTTGGAGCACTAAAATTGGTGATACATTAATTTTCCTTTACTTTTAAAATTACTGAGGGATTTCGAAGGAGGGGGAGGAGAGTAGTTTCATGTATATAATTATATTGTGTATAGCACTTGTGTAAACATACAATGTTTTCTTAGCAGTTTTTTTGTATATGTGTTTTACAAAGAAAACGACAATTATTTTTTTTAATGTAATTAAATATAGTAGAGGTTGGGTATATAGGTATATCAAAGGAATATTATATAGAGTAATATAATATATTCGTATAGAATTCAATGAATTTCCTCGAATTAATAATTGACACCATGGCGTAGGGTATGATAGATACCAATAAACGGCTCCGATTGGCTTCAACATTGCAAAATCTTGGTCCCACATTCATCTCAAATGTGGACACTGACCACACCGCGGTGTCACCTGATTCACCCATAAGAACTATAAAAAAATGGGTTGAGGCGTCGGGTTAGTTTCCCATACTCGGAAAACCCCTCCTACTAGAAAAAGGCAACCAAACCCCCTGATGTTGACGACCAACGCAAACCTATAAAGGAGCACGATCTGCACTTTGAATGTGCGCACGTTGTACAAAACAGTTTTCGCTTTGGAGGATGTACTCAAGAAGTACAAAACTGATATAATTGCCTTACAGGAAATGCGATGGAAAGGAATTGGCGTAAGTAAATCATATGATTACGCCACGTATTATAGCTGCCATAAAACGAGATATGAATTCGGCTGTGGATTTAGGTAAATAGAAGAATAAAATACCTTGTGTCCAGATTCACTCCAGTAGATTAGCGAATTGCTATAATCCGTATAAAAGCGAAATTCTTCTACATCAGTCTCATTTGCGCCCATGCTCTGACCGAAGACAAATATGAACTGACCAAAGACATTTTTTACGAGCGAAACTGCATATGACCCTGCTGCCCTGGCAATGGCATTAAAATTCTGCTAGGAAAAAATCGGAAAAAATTAAAAAATTACTTTCAAATGATCACTGACCTTACAAGGCAAAATTCAAATAACAAAAATTAATTCAGTTGAGCACAGCTATGGCTCGAACTTCGGTCCTCGGAGCAGCACAAATGTTGCCAGATCACTTAACATACTGAGCCATCAACATACTTCCAAAACGGTTGCGTAAAAACATATTTATACCATGGAAGCAATTGTAGGTGTGTGGATTAATTATCTAGTTAATTATCTATTCCTAGAATGAAGACAAATGTCGAACTTTGACAAAGTTGAATTTAATTCCCATATGAAAGTTTCGCATCAGGGCGGAATAAATACAAGTTATCAACATACGTACTTTGTAAAGCCACATAGCCCAATATGACTGATTATCCGCTTAACAATTGGCGAAACGCGTCGCATAATGGTGGGTACGTAGGTTCTTCATTGCAAAACTTAGATCATTAAGCTCGACTCGAAAGATTACAAATAGTCACTTAAAAAAAGGAACGGAAAATACTTTTGGTCCCACCGTCGGAAAATTCAGCCTCCTTGAAGAAACATCCGACAACGGTATGAGGTTGATTGACTTCGCAGCTGCAAAAAACATGGTGGTTAGCAGCACCAGATTCAAGCATCTCGATATATACAAGGACACCTGGATTTCTCCCGATCAAACAATGAGAAATCAAATCGATCATGTTGTGATAGACGGAAGGCATTCCGTCCAGTGTTTTAGACGATCGTTCGATATGAGAAGCGAATATAAATTCGGACCATTACCTTGTTGCAGCCAAGGTTCACACTCGTCTTAATGTAGCAACAAAGGTGCGATCTAATGTAACACGGAAACTCGACGTCGAAAGGCTGCAAACACAACAGATAGCAGAAGCCTACTCCACTTAACTTACCCACCTACTTGACGAAAGCACTCCTTGTCCCGATAATAATATTGAAGCACAATGGTAAAGAATTTCCCACTCCCTACAAACTACAGCAAAATAAACACTTGGTTACCAAAAACCACCATCAAGAAACCCATCGTTTCCACGACAGAGGGGTCTGCGATCCGAAACGACCCGAGTCTTACTCGGCCAACGTCTGTCACCTCAGCCCATTGTGTAAAAGCAATAGGGCTGCTACAACAACAACAACATCAAAAACCCATGGTACGATCCGGAGTGTCTTAATGCTACAGAGTTGAAAAACGCATCGGATAGGGCAACCCTGCAGACAGCAACAACACGTAATGTGGAATTATCTGGAGAAAAGGAAAGAATAGAAACGTATTTTCAAAAAAAAAAAAAAAAAAAAGAAGAAGAAAGAAAAATGTGAGCGTGAGCAAATCGAGATGTACTGGAGTCAGCAGGAAGTACGAAAATTGTACCAACGAGTAAAACACCAAACCCAAGGCTATGGCGCAGGTACATCTCCCTTAGAGACGAAGAAGAAAACCTGGTGACAGATGTGTTGAGGATCTGGAAGGAGCATTTTGAACACGAGATTGCCGAATGCGGTCATTTTGACCATTTTTCAATTTCAAGTACAAAAACAACTGTGTATAAATTGACAAAGTTTTTTTTTTTAATTTGGTGACTTTTTTATAATAAACGTAATTCTATGTTGTAAAAAGTCACCAAATTTAAAAAAGCGTCATTATATGCACAGTTTTTTTTGTACTTGAATTGAAAAACTGTCAAAATGACCGCCTTCGACAATCTAGTGTTAAAAGCTTCTGGTATCAAATAGTCGCGGTGAAGGAGGTACCCCAGAACCAAAAAAGATGACGGTATAGATTGTATACCACCTAGCCAAGAAGAGGATGAGGCCAGAGTAGGAAGTAATCGGCTGAAGAACAATAAAGCAGCAGGTGCCGATGGATTACCGATGCCAAACTATTCAAGACCGGTGGTCATATGCTGGTGAGGAGCATGCAGCAGCTAATTAGTACAATACAAAAAAGGAGGTCAGACGATATGTGCCAATTTTAGAGGAATTAGTCTCATTCCCATCGCATTCTCATTCTCATCGTGCTGTGTGAACGGATGAAGCCAACGGTCAATGACATTATTGGACAATACCAATGCGGCTTAAGGCCTGGCAATTCCAATTTCACACTGCGCTAAATCCTGGAAAAGACCCACAAGAAACATATCGACACATTTCACCTATTCGTCGACTATAAATCCACATTCGACAGTCCTATCTGTTCAGAGGTTTTTAAAGTCATATCAGCGTTTGGCATTCCTGCAAAATTAATACGGCAATGCAGGATAAATTTATCTGACACAAGGAGGCATTTAATACCGAACGAGGATTCAGACAAGGTGACAGTCTGTCGTGTGTCGTTTTTAACCTTCTGCTCGAAAAGGTGATACATAAAAAAATGCTATTCTGTACACCAAACATCATATGTTACTCGCCTACGCCGATGACATTAAATGGCGAGAAGAACAAGCTGATGCTATCAACGCACAAGACGTCAAGTAGACTCGGGCCAACAGTGGAACTTTTATATATACCTCTCACATCAGCTTTGAAATCACTAGAAGAATAGTGTTGGCCAACAGATGCTACTATGGCCTGAGTAAGAAATTGAGGAACAAGGCCACCTCTCGTCAGACCAAACTCACACTCTACAAGACGCTGATACTACCCGTGCTGTTGTATGGAACTGAAGCAGTGTAAAGTGTGTTGAGAGAAAAATTCTCCGAAAGATCTACGCGCCGATTTACGTCGACGGTGAATATCGCCGTCGAATGAGCCATGAGCTGTACCATCTATTCTCAGACATAGACAAAGTCAGACTTATCGAGCTGCAGCGACTATGTTGGCTAGGGCATGTTGTGAGAATGGATGAGGAGGCACCAGCTCAAAATGCATATAAACGTTAACCATCTGATTCTGGTTCACGCGGAAGGGAAAGGTACGAATTAGATGGACAGATCAAGTGGAAGACAACATCTCGGAACAAGACCGACGCGCCTGGAAATCTTTTTTAAGCTCGGCTTATGGAACAAACATTCTGTCTGCTAAGTAGTAAGTAGCATCCTAGCTAACGAGAAAATGATAATGTATAGTTCTTTCTTACACGAATAGTATGCTTATTCAATCGCCAAGTTGTCTATTTACCCTCCAAAATCAGACAATGAGAGGTAAAACGATAACAGATTTCTTGATATTATTTGAAGAATTGTCTTAATAAATTCATCTGAATTTTTTGATTACAACATTGGGACAGGTTGTAGAGTCCTCTCTTTAGTATATTCATCAAGCTAGGAGAATATCGAATGACTTGACATTCCTAAGGTTGCTAAGGTTTTCTGTGATTATATAGACTTCTATAAAGGTCTTGCCTTTGGAACAGGTCTACAACGTTTGTGTATTTATTATTGTGTACCCATTCTGATCCATGTTTACCGGACTAAATTCGTGCATATATTGGTCCCCCATTTCTTTATTCTAATATTTTAATGTCAAACTCCTCATTTTCTTTACAGGTCTGTACAAAAACCTATGTTGGTGGTGATTCGGATAGCGATCGACGTATGATGGTCCTTAAGAAGGGCATAAGCTTGAATTATCAACATCATTGGATTGTTGATAATATGCCAGTGACATGGTGTTATCCATTGGAGAATAATAAACAATATTGCAGTACCGGTTTCCCAATGGGTTGTTTGGTGCGCGGTGAAAGTGATGCTGGCTGTTTGATAAATCCCAACTACAATAGACGTGGCTATTATTATCCCTTCAATCATGTCGATTTGAAGATAACCTATCACAGTGGCCAAACCGAAGAATGGGGTGTTGGTTTCCGTGCTAATGGTGGTCGTATTATTTCCGTTAAAGTAACACCACGTTCCATTAATCATGTTGATCTGAAGAATTTGAATTGTGACAATACAGATCCATTGGCCATTAAGGGTAGTCCATTGGCTGCTGGTGAAAAATTGTCCATAATCTATACTTACAGTGTTGAGTTTACCCGCAACGATAATGTCAAATGGTCATCAAGATGGGATTATATTTTGGAATCAATGCCTCACACAAATATTCAATGGTTTTCGATTTTGAATTCGTTGGTTATTGTGTTATTCTTATCGGGTATGGTGGCCATGATTATGTTGCGCACCTTGCACAAAGATATTGCCCGTTACAATCAAATGGAAAGTGGTGAAGATGCTCAGGAAGAATTTGGTTGGAAATTGGTACATGGTGATGTATTTCGTCCACCGAGAAAGGGTATGCTGTTGTCGGTGTTTTTGGGTTCGGGTATTCAGGTTTTCTGTATGACATTGATTACATTGGCATTTGCCTGTTTGGGTTTCTTGTCGCCCGCCAATCGTGGTGCATTGATGACTTGTTCGATGGTATTGTTTGTGGCATTGGGCACCCCGGCTGGTTATGTTTCGGCACGTATATATAAGAGTTTCGGTGGCATCAAGTGGAAGAGTAATGTCATATTGACATCAATGTTGTGTCCAGGGTAAGTGGGGTGGAATGGGAATTGATTTTTTGTTTATTAATTGTTGTTTCCTTTTGCAGCATTGTTTTTGGCCTTTTCTTTGTAATGAATCTCGTTTTGTGGGGAGAAGGCTCTTCAGGAGCTGTACCATTTAGTACATTGATTGCCTTGTTGGCCTTGTGGTTTGGTGTCTCCGTGCCCCTCACATTTGTGGGTGCCTACTTTGGATTCCGTAAGAGGGTGAGTTGGAAATTATTGAATTGTTTATTTTTATTGAGAAATCATTTTTGTTTATCTCTCTCTCTCTATCTCTCTTTCAGTCTCTGGAACATCCCGTACGCACAAATCAAATACCTCGTCAAATACCCGATCAATCGATTTATACTCAACCGATTCCCGGCATCATTATGGGCGGTGTCTTACCCTTTGGCTGTATTTTCATTCAACTCTTCTTCATACTCTCTTCGATTTGGTCTAACCAAATGTACTATATGTTCGGTTTCCTATTTTTGGTCTTTGTCATTTTGGTCATCACCTGTTCGGAGACCACAATTCTATTGTGCTATTTCCATTTGTGTGCAGAAGATTATCACTGGTGGTGGCGTTCCTTCTTAACGTCTGGCTTCACGGCAGTGTATCTCTTCATTTATTGCTGTCATTATTTCGTGACAAAGCTGTCGATTAAGGACGCCCCCTCAACATTCTTATACTTTGGCTATACGGCAATTATGGTATTCCTATTTTTCCTGCTGACCGGTTCAATTGGGTTCTTTGCCTGTTTCTGGTTCATACGCAAAATTTACAGTGTTGTAAAAGTCGATTAAAACCGGATACGTAGACATTTAAAATGGCTTTATTTTTATTACGATTTATATAGCTTTTTAAGCTATTATTATAACTTTTTTTATTATTATTATAAAGTGTGTTGTGACTCCTCGTAAGTGTCGTACTGTTGTTTGGCCCGAGAGGATTCTTGACATCATAAAAAATGATAACAAAAGAAAGAAAAAAGAATTATATTTAAGTTGTGATTTATTTCAATATATAGAATTAACGTAAAGATATGTGTCTCTGTGTATTCTGTTCGTTTATTTTCGTATTCGATCGGTAAATGAATGATGAAAAGTGGAAGGCACTACAGTACAGTGCCGGTAGCATACTTATGAAATATGTGGCCAGTTTTTTTTTTTTTTTTTGATTTGTGTCTTTTGAAATCAGTGTGTAGCCGTCACTATTTACACATATCTTTTGATTGAAACGCGCAATAAATTTATCCGTAAAAACAAACCAACAAATAAAATGTATTAAAACATTTCCTCTTCATACAAATTCCCATAAAAATAATGTGCATAATAAAAATACATAGAGGTCTAATTGACTTTACAAAGGAGACTAGATATTCCTTTCAGACATTCTACTTCTTTTTTTATTTCCGAATTTATATATTTTCCTTCGTAGCGTTTTCCCGATTATGCTTTTCTTGCACAAAGTATTTCTTCGTTCATGTTTGATTTTGTTTTTCGTTTAATTAATTTTGTACTATTTTGTCCATATTCTAAATTCCTCATATTTAATAATAACAATTAATAATACAAATAATAATGTAGAGAAGACAATGATAATATAATGTTATTGCCATTTCTTTTTGTAATAAAAAACAAAACGAGAAAATAAACAAAAAATAATAGTAATAAAGAATAATTTCATATAAAATTAATAAAAATTAGTTTAAAATATTTAAACTATATTTAATAAATAAAACACAAAAAAAAAAAAAACAAATGTATAGACTATAAAGCCAATTTTAATTTAAGATATGGAGAAAATGTAGCAGTATGTTTCTGTGGTGCTGATATAACAACGGATGACAAGAGGCGAGCGCTTAAAATCAGCAAATAATTCGTCGAGCTGGCTTGTGACCTTCCTTCGCTTTCCCCTTCTGCGTGAACCATTTTTATACCCTTCAACACACTTTGGTACAGGCTATTATGTCTTTGTGCATATGTTTGTAACAGGCAAAAATAATAGAGATAGACCCTTGGCTCCTTTTGAGAATATGCATAGAATCACTTTCTGAGTCGATTTATGCATGTCCGTCCGTCTGTAAATGTTAAATTGTAAACAAAGTACAAGTCGAATTTATGATCCGATTTGGATGACATTTGGCACAGCTCACTTCTTTGGCCCAAGGACGAACCCTATTGAAATTCAAGAAAATCGGTTCAGATTTGGATATAGCTCCCATATATATTTTCATCCGAATTAATGTAAGTGGTGCACCAAAGTCCTTATATACCTTTCGATTTGCACGAAATTTGGTATAGCGCACTGAATTAAGTTTAAGTTTTGTGAATATCGGTTCAGATTTAGATATAGCTCCCATATATATTTTCGTCTGATTTAAGTTAAATATATTTCGATATGCCCGAAATTTGGCATAGCGTAGTGAATTGCGTGCATAATGATGTGTTCTAAGTTTCGTGAAAATCGGTTCAGATTTAGATATAGCTCCCATATATAGTTTCGCCCGATTTTAGGTATTTGGTGCACCAAAATCTCTGGGAATCTTTTAATTTGCACGAATTTTGGCATAGCGTACTGAATTATGCCCAAAAAATGTGTGCTAAGTTCCGTGAAAATCGGTTCAGATTTAGTTTTAGCACCCATATATATTTTCGTCCGATTTTAGGTAATTGGTGCACCAAAGTCTCTGAAAATTATTCGATTTGCACGAAATTTGTCATTGCGTACTGAATTAAAGCTAGAATGACGTGTTCTAAGTTTCGTGAAAATCGATATAGATAAATAACAAAAATGCGTCGTCTGTTAGGATACATATGTAGAATATACCCCAAAGTGGTGAAGGGTGTCATATAGTCGGCCCAGTCCGACTTTACAACTTTCCTTACTGGTTTTCATTTCAAAATTGCCATTTATTTACAAAATTAAGTCAGGTTACAGTTCTACAAAAAAACATTCTCCTATGCCATATGGCTTACAATAAGGAGACTACGAAACTTAAAGCTATTCTAGTGCTTGAGATTGAGACTTCATTTATTGAAATAGTTATGAAGGTTTTCCATGTTCACGTTCAGTCTTTTTTCCACGGTGATACCAAAGCGTCCTTGCAACGCCAATAGCACATCATCAGCATACGTTAACAGCATTCCTCCTTCAGGTGGTCCTGGTATGTCACAGATGAACAAGTTGTACAGAACTGGTGCAAACAGAGATACTTGTGGTATCCCTGCCTTGACGCTACTAAGAGAGCTTGTCCTCGACTCGTACTCTTAAGACTCGATCATTAAGGAAACTTGTCACCATACGGCAAGTTTGTAGATCGATGCCAAACGATTGCATTTTATATAACATGCCATGTTGCTATACTGTATCGAAGGCTTTGGCAAAGTCTTAGCCAACAGCTATGGTTCTTTTTTTAGCTTGAGTCCTTCTGTGACATATGTTGAGAATGCGGTTGAGTGCTTTGGCCGAAATCCAAACTGACAGTCTCTATGAATCCTCCTTTCATCAATAACCCGTTTGATGCGTCGTAGCAGGAAGTGCTCAAACAATTTCCCAAAGGGCGATAACAGGGAAATTGGTCTGTAGCTTCCACGCAGGCTGGCATCTGCTCCAGGTTTTGGTATTGACACAACTAGTGCTTCCTTCCAGGCTGTTGGGAAATAGCCGATGTTGAGGCATGCGTGAACCATGCCATCGTTTTTATATGCCTTTTTGTGCTGGGGCATCCTCATTCATTCTCACAACATAACCTAGCCAACATAGTCTCTGCAGCTCGATCATCTGACAATATAGATGATACAATTCATGGTTCATTCGACAATTCATCTTATTCTTATAACAGCACGGGTAGTATCAGCGTCTTGTAGAGTGTGAGTTAGGTCTGGCGGGTGGCCTTGTTTTTAAACTGACCGTACTTAGACCGTAATTGCATCTGTTAGCCAAGACTATTCTTCTTCGAATTCCAAAACTGAAGTCACTAGTTTTATTTATGGCGGAGTGCCATCTCTATTCACATTTGCATCTCGTATGACCTTTTCCAGCAGGTTGTTAAAAATGTCACACGACAAACTGTCATCTTGTCCGATTACTCGACCGGTTTTGAAGGGCTCCGAGAGGTCATTTCCTCTAACTGCTGACCTTGTGCCAGTAAAATGTATCCTGTATAACCGTATTAATTTCGCAGGAATGCCGAACGCAGACATTGCTTTAAACACCTCTGAGCGGATTTGGCTGTCGAATGCAGCTTTATAGTCGACGAATAGGTGGAATATGTCGATGTGTTTTCATTTTTTTCAGGAATTGACGATTGATTAATTTGAAAATCTGGTCAAAGGCAATGACCAAGGAGTCATTGAGTACTGCCCAATCCTTCAGATGTTCGAGTTGCAGAAATAAAATTCCGAGATATCATCACAGTTGCAACCGATTGCTAAACATGCGAGTCGAATACCAAACTGACCAGCAAACGTTGTGAGGTTGTGTCGTACCATAAGAGTAGTTGGAGGAATGGTCAGGGGTCATCGTCGCTTTAGAGAATTGCCCAATCCTTTAGATGTGCGAGTAACAGAAATGCATTTCCTGGAAATCATCACAGTTGCAACCGCTTTCTAAACATCCGCATCGAATAACAAACCGCCTAGCAGACGTAGTGGAAGGAAGGCAAAAGAATAGTTGGCGAGTATAAGCGGAAGAAGTGGTTAGAACATCTGAAGTGCTACAACATCGGCACCGGGTGGAGTGAATTCTGGGCAAAGGTTAACTCCCTCTCGAATCCTGGAACGAAGGATGATTGGACTTCTCTCTAAATGACACTATATGTACAAACGCCGGTATTGCGTGGAAATCAGAAACTATAAGTCAAAGACCTTAGAGTCAAACAAGGATATGCTCTAGGTAGAGTGATATATCCGGAACTGCTTCACATCTACTTTTCGTTATTACACATCCTCGGATGGCATTGAGATAATTCAGTTCGAGGCGTATGGACCAACAATGATAAGTTGATTTCATATTTCGTTGACAAATTATCCTCCTCGAATGTGCAGGTCGAGGGATCCATAATTCAGAACACTAATTGCTCTAGGAACCACATTCGATATTCTCTATAAGCCATTTACGCCAAGCCACTGCTATCTGTGATAAGTTCAGGGGCAATAATAAGATTCTGAAGTCACTAGCCGACAGTACTTGGGTAGCTGATAAAGAAACTTAGTTGACAACCTAAAAAACAATAGACCGGATTGTGGTGAGCTATGCGGCTTCAGTGTGTATGTGCTACTCAATGGAAAAACATTCAATTCTGCCAAAATGCTGCACTAAGGTCTGTAGCAGGATCCCTCCTCATAACTCCGATCTACCACATACCTGAGATGACGAATATCCGTCTAGTCCGCCAACCCAACAATATTTGAATTTTCGTTGCTACATTGCATTCAGAATTGGGGCCACTAGGTTCGGATGCTTTAAATTCAATTTAAACCCAACATATAAATTTGAGGTAACTGGTTATAGACGAAGTATCAATCGTAGGAGCTGAATTGTTTTCCTATTTAGATGCAATTTAGAACAATTTTTATTCTTTAGCTTCATTTCATTTTTTTCATTTTTGCACAATTTTCAGTTTTTACATTTATTAGCAAATCAACACGGAACTATGTGAGCAAAGGAACTATAAAAAGCGAAGGAACTATATGGAGCAAAGGAACTATATGGATCGAAGGAAGGATCTATATATGGAAAAAACGAAAAAAGAACGATTAAAGGGAGAGATTCAAAAGAACTATATGGAGCAAAGGAACTATATGAAAAAAAACGAAAAGAACAATGAAAGCGAGAGATTCAGAGGAACTATGTAGGAGTCGGAACTATATTTAGCAAAAGAACTGTATGGAGTAAAGGAACTATATGGAGCAAAGGAACTACTTCCTTTTTAAAAAAGAACGAGAAATATCGATCCGCTGAGTGAACTTGACTGCCCAACTCTAATCCAGATCTTTCAGATTGGAACAGCAACGCAACGAACCATCTAAACCAAAAATTCATCGTCCCATAGACCTATGGCGAAAATCAATATTTTTCTTCAAAGAGCCTTCTCTAGGCCTAATTTCGTCGAAATTTTGACTATATTCTTAAATAAATAATTCCAGCCTCATTTGTCTACATTTATGATCGATTAACATTTTTATTTGGCCAACAAATTGATGCCACCCAAAGGCAGGCTGACTTAAAACTACACAACTTTACATTTAACATGAAATTGAGGAATACAATACTGATATTTTATATTTATACGCATCTGATGTATTCGTTGAACTTGCAATTGCCTTTCCATCGACTCATATCCAATGAGTTAATTGCATAGTTCCATCTTGTGCCCGTTGCGTATCCATAACACTCATTTGACGTACTAGACGTCGCATAGAGGGTCGCGTCGGGCGATTAACATCTAGGGGTGTACGTTCATCGATTATTGATTTGGGTCGAGAACGAACTGAATGTCGCTTCGATGAAGAACCTGATGAGGTTTTCATTTCCAGTTCCACATCGGAACCGGCATTTGATGCCAGGACATCCAGATTTTCATAGGATGCCTGTTGTGATGACAGGACTTGACTGAAATAAGTGAAAATCACAAATATGTTAATGGAAAAAATAATTTAGGGTTTTAGGACTATTTCATACCTCTCTGGCTTACAGCTGCAACAGTTTTTAATAGTCCAGTCCTTGCCAAATTCTTCGCCCTCTTCGATGGTTTGCGGCAAACGATGATGCAAGGTTTCGGGCAAACGTAATCCAGTAATGCCACCCAACATTGACATGAAACCCATTATTACCAAGGGGAGTTTGAGATTCTCCTTGCCCTGAAAAATAGCAAATAGCTTTAAAAATTCGAGGCAGACTGCTTGAAATATTCTTTAAAAAATCCACGCCTTGGATAGTCGTTGAAAAAATATTCTTGAAAAATATTCCGATCTAAATCTTACCAGATATGTAACGAAAGGTATAACAATTAGCCCCAGACCACCAACATAACTGGATACCCCAATGCCAATACCTCGAACTTGTGTGGGATATAGTTCGCCAGCAAATGGATAAATAATCAAAAAGGAGGCTGATAGTAATGCCTTCGATATTAAATACAAATAGAGGGTCTCATCCACGGCATCATCTGGTAGCATTACCGTGATGACACAAGCTACACCTCTGGAAAGAGATCCCACAAAATTAAAAATTTTATACAATTTCCCGACATATAACCCTACCCCAATATCATGGATAGCGACAAAGGCCAACGACGTCCCCATGTATCCATCAGATACCAACATACCAAATAGCTTGGTATCTCAACAGCGGCCGATAAAAAGAAGCTGACATACTGATTGCTACCCAACGAGGGGCCATAATAGCTCAGGCCCAAATATACCGTTTCATTGGCAAACCAACTGAGGGTAATTAAAAGGGTCTTCAGACGCATATTAGGAGTTCTGCAAAATAGAAAAAAAATGTTAAAAATATGTATCACTTTTCTCCAAACATTTCCCACACACCTGCACAAATCGGAAACTCCAGCATTGACATGTTTTTTCTTCTCCTTCAGTTTGTCACGTGAGATTTGAGCTTCTAGTTTTGTTTTAATGACGGGAGGAAATTCGTGACCATTAACACGTGCCATATTTTCCAAAATCTTTAAAGCTTCCTCAAGACGTCCTCTCATTAGAAGCCAGCGTGGTGATTCTGGCATAATGAATAAATACAGGAAGTAGGCATAGAACGGGACGGATGTGTAATAAGAAAGTTTGACCCAATCCCTTTCCAGATATGTTACAACCGATAATATCATAATGGCCGAGGTATAAAACGTACAGGTCATGACGGTAACGAAGGAGCGATAACTTTCTCCGACCAGTTCCAGGGCTGCAATGAAAAGACGGAAAACATTTTTTAATTAATAATTAATAGGCATGGATTTTTTAAAGGGTTACAAAAACCACCATCAAGAAACTCATGGTACTATCAGGAGTGTCGTAATGCTGCAGATGTGAAAAACGCAGCGTATAGGGGAACCCTGCAGAGAGTAACAACATGTAATGTGATGGAGAATTATCGGGAGAAAAGGAGAGAGGAGAAACGTATTTTCAGAAAAAAGAAGTAAGAACAAGAAAAACGTGAACGTGAGCAAATCAAGATGTACAGGATTCAGAATGAAGTCCGAAATTTCTACCAACGGGTAAAACACCAAACCGAAGCTTTGGAGCAGGCACATCCTCCTGTAGAGATGAAGAAGGAAACCTGGTGACATATACAGACATCGTGCTGAGGATCTGGAAGGAGCATTTTGAATCGCATATAAAGTGCTATCCAGCGTGCTGTGTGAACGACTGAAGCCAATGGTGAATGACATTATTGGACCATACCAATGCGGTTTCAGACCTGGCATATCCACCATTGGCCAGATTTTCACTCTGCTACAAATCCTGGAAAAGACTCACGAAAAACAAATCGATACATTCCACCTATTCCTCGACTATAAAGCCGCATTCGACAGCCCTATCCAGAGGTTTTGAAAGCCATGTCTGCGTTTGGCATTCCTTCAAAATTAATTCGGCTATGCAAGATAACTTTAACTGGCACAAGATCAGCAGTTAAAGTCGGAAAGAACTTCCCGGAACCCTTTAAAACCGAACGAGGATTCAGACAAGGTATCAGTTTGTCGTGTGACCTTTTTAACATCCTGCTGGAAAAGGTCATACGAGAGGCAAAAGTAAACAGAAATGGCACTCTGTACACCAAACAACACATGTTACTCGTTTACGCCGATGACATCAACATAATGGGTCGAACACTGAGAGCGGTAACAGCCACATTTGAATAAATTGAGAAGGAGTCTGCCAAAGTGAGTCTGGCAAAGTGAGTCCGCCATAACTAAAACTAATGACATCTGTTAAGAAATTCGGAGAAGGATAGTGTTGGCTAACAGATGTTACTATGGTCTGAGTAAGCAACTCAAAAGAAGGCCACCTCCCGCTAGGCCAAACTCATACTCTACAATACGGTGATATTACCCGTGCAGTTATATGAATTTGAAGCGTGGGTACTTACGCAAGCAGATGAGGCAGCTCTAGAAGTGTTTGAGAGAAAAATTCTCCGAAAGATCTATGGGCCGATCTGCGTTGACGGTGAATATCGCCGTCGAATGAACCATGAGTTGTACCAACTATTCTCGGATATCGGCATTGTTAGACGTATTGAGCTGCAGCGATTACGTTGGCTAGGTCATGTTGTGAGAATGGATGATGATGCCCCAGCCCAAAATGCATATAGAAGCGCACCAGCTGATGGTTCACGCAGCAGGGGGAGGCCATGAATAAGATGGAAAATTATTGCCCAATATGATCTTTCAAATTGGAGAAACTGCACAAAAGACCGACGCGCCTGAAAATCTTTTTATACCCTTCACCACACTGTGGTACAGGGTATTATGTATTTGTGCATATGTTTGTAACAGGCAAAAGGAAACGAGATAGACACATGGTTTCTTTTGAGAATATGCATAGAATCACTTTCTAAGTCGATTTGTGCATGTCCGCCCGTCTGTCCGTGTGTCTGTCTGTGCATGTTAAATTGTAAACAAAGTACAGGTCGCATTTATGATCCGAATTGGATGAAAATTGACATAGCTCACTTATTTGGCCCAAGGATGAACCCTATTGAAAATGGGGAAAATCGGTTCAGATTTAGATATACCTCCCATATATATTTTCGTCCGATTTAAGGTAAATGGTGTACCAAAGTCCCTATATATCTTTCGATTAGCATGAAATTTGGCATATCGTACTGGATGGAGTCTAGAATGATGTGTGTAAAGTTTAGTGAAAATCGGTTCAGATTTAGATATAGCTCCCATATATATTTTCGTCCGATTTAAGGTACATGGTGTACCAAAGTCCCTATATATCTTTCGATTTTCCCGGAATTTTGCATGGGGTACTGAATTATGTCTAGAATGATGTCCGTTAAGTTTAGTGAAAATCGGTTCAGATTAAGATATAGCTCCCATATATATTTGCACAAGGTACATGGTGTAGCAAAGTCCCTAAATATCTTTCGATTAGCACGAAATTTGGCACAGCGTACTGAATTAAGTCTACAACAATATGTGTCAAATTTCGAGGAAATCGGTTCAGATTTCGATATAGCTCCTATATATATATTTTCGTCCGATTTTAAGTAAATGATGCACCAAACTCCTAATGCTTATGAGTTATTTATCCAAATAATCAACGGGTGTCCGATTGATATTTGCTTTAAATAGATTTACATAATTTTGATTGATTATATGAAGCAACTCTATATCTGGCCAAATGAAAAATTTAGTATAGGTTGCAGAATGGATCCAATATGAATTCGTCTGATAGAATTAATCAGTTGAATATATCCAAAGTGGTGAAGGTTTTCATATAGTCGGCCCCGTCCGACTTTACTACTTTCCTTACTGGTTTTTAAGATCGGCTTATTGAACGAATGTTCTGTCACAAGCTAGCTAAGTAAGTAATCAAGGCTTGGATTTTTTAAAGAATGTTTTTTAAGGACTATCTAAGGCGTGGGTTTTTTAAAGAATATGTTTTCAAGGACTATTCCAGGCATTGATTAAAAAAAATATATTTTTTCAAGGACTACCAGCGTGTGAATTATATAGTTAAATTATTATATACTTTCAAATATATACTCACATATAATAAATGGAATTTGATATACTGCCGGTATGGTGAGTCCGACAATGACACGACTACCAGCCCAGGTCCAAAAATCCTTGCTTATCGATGTAATGAGGCTACCAACGAGCAATGTGGCCAAACAAACAAAATACGATGTACGACGACCGGCACGATCATTTAGCAAACCAAACAAATACACACCAATGGGACCACCAACATTGAGGGCAGCCAAACCAATTGTCGGATAAATATCCTTATCGCATACGAGATCATACTACGGAGGATATAATTATAAACATTATTATCAAATTACCTTATGATTTCGATCGAATACAAATATACAATCATTATGGACCATGAAATGATTAGTATTTCGAAAACTAGCATTACCTACGATACACTCAAATATTATATGTGATGAAATAGTAAAAAGTCTTAGTTTAGGATGACTTTATCAAAATTTCGTAGTGGACCCATCCATACGTCAATTACAATTGAGGACCACACTTCAGTGGTATTGTACTCCCAACCCTCTGGACATTTTTCAATTGGCCATGTTAGATCAGGCTTCAAATCGTTGATGGTGGCATTTTCAAGTAGTTGTAACCAATTAACGGCATATCGATAACATTTGCTGTGTTCTCCGGTATGGTGATCCTGTAAAGTCAAGAGAATGGGTTAATGGGATTTGTTTAGAACAGAAGATCTCTTAGAGATATTCTACATACTGAAGACCTCCTTTATAGGCAGAATATTTTCTAAAGGTGAATTTCTAAGAGTTGTATGAAAGTTAAAGAAACTGTGGAATTGATGAATCATCCGTTAACAGCCCTTTGTTATTTTTTAGTAGAAATATTTGCAGCTTAATGATAACCCAAAATACCAAACTGCAACCAATTCAGTTACAACTCTTGCCCAAACTACCGAATATTGGGGGGGTGTTATGTCCCTACATTAAATATGTTAATGTGACAACCGTAAATATTGACAGTTGCAAATGTCATTTCTCTACTTATGTTTTATAATCCTAGTAGTTAAGAATTCTTGAAATAGACATCATTGTCTTCCCCAAAGAACGGAGACGGATAAGAATCACGACCATCCCCGAAAGGGGAAAAGACCCGGCATTGGTACAAAATTATAGACCTATTGCACTCATGTCCACCTCTCAAAAAATCATTGAGAGTGCCATCAAAGATAAAATACTACAGTTCATTGAAACGAACAAAATCTTACCACATCGGTCTTATGCTTTCAGACCCGGAAGAATTACGACGACCTGCATCAACGATGTAATAAACTCCATACAAATCTTGAAAAAATTCGGAAACCATGTGGTAGATGCATGTGTCGACGTTGAAAAAGCGTTCGACAACAACGACATTTCCAAGTTGGGCAGAATTCTGTTCGAAAATGGTTTAAACACTCATATAATAAAATGGATAGTGGATGGAATGAAATATAGAAAACTGGAACTAGGAAAAAAACTCAATAATTGTTAAAAATGGATAGCCACATGGCAGTGGACTCAGTCCAATTCTTTTCAATTTGTACACGGCTCAATTGCACAAAACATCTTCGGATGGTGCTATAGTGTATCAATTTGCAGACGATTTTTTTATATTATGCTATGACAAAACATATCTCCAAGCAAGGAACTTATTAGTAATGGAACTAAACCATTTCAGTTCCAACTGCGCAAATCTGAGTTTAAGTTTCAACATGGAAAAAGTAAGTACAATGCATTTTTGCAGAAGACCAAGGAAACTAGACATCACCATCAATTGAATCACTCTCAGCCAAACAACCAGCATCAAGTATTTAGGTGTACATCGCATCCAGTGGATCACCTAAAATACATGTAGACAATGCCGTCAAAAATGTCGATAAAGCCTCCGTATTATAGGTGGTTCTAAATTCGGAGTATCTCCTTCAAAAGTACTACACTTCAACAAAGCGTGCGCACGTGCAAAACTAGAATACGGCGCAGCTGTCATATCCAATCTTACAAAAACATCGGAAAAAAGGATCAAAACATGTGTAAATGGTTTACTTCGAAAGGCTCTAGGATTAATTTAATCCATTAATTTAATTTTATCCATTTATATATATATATATATTCACGAAGCTTAGCAACATCCTTCTAGACTTAATTCAGTACCCTATACCAAAATTCGTGCAAATCGAAAGATATATAGGGACTTTGGTGCACCAATTACATAAAATCGGACGAAAATATATATGGGAGCTATATCTAAACCTGAACCGATTTTCACCAAACTTAACACACATCATTCTAGCCTTAATTCAGTATACTATGACAAATTTTGTGCAAATCGAAAGATATATAGGGACTTTGGTGCACCAATTACTTAAAATCGGATGATACATATGTATCTAAATCTGAACAGATTGTCACGAAACTTTGCACACATCATTGTAGACTTAATTCAGTACGTTATGCAAAAATCCGTGCGAATCAAAAGATTCAGGGACTTCATTGGACTATTTACCTAAAATCAGGGGAAGCTACATATGGGAGCTATATCTAAGTCTGAACCGATTTTCACGAAACTTTGCACACATCATTTTAGACTCAATTTAGTACGCTGTGGCAAATTTCGTGCAAATTCCAAGATATATAGGTATTTTGGTACACCATTTACCTTAAATCGGATGAAAATATATATGGGAGCTATATCTAAATCTGAACAGATTGTCACGAAACTTTGCACACATCATATTAGACTTTATTTAGTACGCTGTTCCAAATTTCGTGCAAATCGAAAGATATATAGAGACTTTGGTGCATCATTTACCTTAAATTGGACGAAAATATATATGGGAGCTATATCTAAATCTGAACCGATTTTCTCCAATTTTAATAGGGTTCATCCTTGGTTTCTTTTGAGAATATGCATAGAATAACTCTCTAAGTCGATTTATGCATGTCCGTCCGTCTGTCAGAATCGGATACTAGGTCAATGAGAAAATAAACAAACTACGACTTCAATGGTACAACATTTTTTTCACCGATGGTTCAGTATTGGATCCCACATCTGGAGCAGCATTCCTCCATGTAAACTCAAACTCCATTGAATCTTTTTACACAAACAAAAAACTGCCCTCAATGACAGCCGAAATTTTAGGTTTTCTTCAAGCACTAATGTATGCAAAAGAGAAAGCGTTTACTAAAATCGCCATCGTATCAGACAGTTTCAGCGGTATTAAAGCAACGAATACATATAAATTGGCCAATAAATGACGCTATTTCAAAAATTCAAGATTCACTTTGGGACGAATGGACTAATGAATACTCCAACATTTCCCTTCAAAACAACTTTCATTTTTACAAAATTTTCCCGAAATAGAACAACATGGTTCAAAAACTCAAAACTCACTGCCGGTGACCAGAAACCCATAATTTTCAATACTTTACAACCTAGAATTTATATGCAAAATATCAAAGCTCTATCTGTAATATATAAATCGACATAGAATTGTAGTCCGATCAAGAATATATGGGGGCCTCCGTGGTGTTTTAAACCGAACAATGAATTTTATGAACACTTTATCTTTAAGCACGTGCTCTCATAATTTCCTTCTCTTTCTCTCCCTGTCTCTCTATCTCATGTAAACAATGAGAATGTAAACAAACACTACACATTTGTTTGTTTATTTAGAGTTTGAAAAAGGTAAACAAATCACCTATCGTTGTCTCTTTCTTACAAAGCATCGATAGTCTTTCACTCTGACAATGTCAATGTCAAATACAATATGGCTTCCAAAATTTTCAGATGTAAAAAAAATTCGGAAATCTTCATGAATCATTCCCACAACTTACCATATCTGGTGGTAATGCCAAATGTTTTCTCTGTTCCACAGATGATATGTTAAGTAATTCGGGTACCCTGCACCAATAATCCGTTGGAGTATCGGCCATAAATAGTTGATTAAAAGCACAAAAGCCACACGGTATACAAGCGGGCAGGCATATACCAAAAACCAATAATTTTTGATATTTACCAAATTCCCCAATGGAGGGCAGTAAATCATCCAAATCGAATTGTTCCTAAAAAGGCAAGAATTTCATTCGCATTTACTTGCAAGGTTATAGCCTAATTTTCTTTCCAAGTATTAAACTTACATCTTGTTCGGTTTCTGTGGTCGCCTTTGCAATTTGTGTAATGCTGGGTCTATCAACTTCTGATCCATCTTCAAAATCACTGTCGTCTTCAATGGGCATTTTTTGCCTTAGATTTTATTATTATTTTGTTTGGCTTGATTAACTTAAATATTTGTACGAATGAAAATTCTTGCAGATGAAAATTACGACCACCACGACCACGGCTAGCTGTCAGTTGTATGTTGTCAATGAAGAAAAAATGTCTAACCATGGAAGACCGATAACTGCAATGCATTCGTACCCCTTTCTTGCCAATTGTTTAGTGGAATGGTAGGTAGTGCCATACTGGCTACAAGACATTAATTTAGAGAATATAAGACCGTTATTTTAAATTTTAAAATTATAAGTAAACACTGACTTATGAGCAAGCAGTAAAGAATTAATATGGATGTATGAGTTTAATACTGTAAAAATCTATTATTCGGAGATTATTAGAAAGAAATGTCCCAAGGAAAAATGGATTGCGCTATCCTACAACAAAATCCCCTGACGCACAGTTTCGCTGAATTGGGCTTTGTTTCTAAAAATTGTCCACTTGTAGCTCCTTTATTTCTCAGCTACATATATAGATTTTCACCTCTCAGATGTAGAGTTCGGCAAATTCGTTCAAGAAAGGGTTCGATCGTTTTGAGTTCGCTTCGCAATAAAACTATGTCGCTTATTTCGTTCCATATTTCATTTGAGTTCAATAGTACATTGGTCCACGTTAATTAATTATTAAAATTAAATTAGGGATTCAGCTCTACTTAAAAATGGCGCCCAAATGATATCATTATTACTAATCGTTGACTTTGTAATAGTAATTTTGGTTTATGCTGGTAAAATCACGTTATGTTATTAACATATTAAAACTCCTAAAACGGATCATCAAAACGTCATTGATGATCGGCCGCAGAAATCAGAATCAGTTCCCAACTACCCTGCAAACCTTAATTAGTATCAGCAAATTTCTTATAGAAAACTAAACCCATCAAAAGGTCGTAATATGCTTTCAGCCTCTTGAGGGTATGGCGCCCAACCATAGTCTTCTCAGTTTAACGAATTCAGCATTTCAAAAATATTATTCTTATACTTTCGTATGAGTACGAAACATGCCAAAAATCTGAGCAAGCATTTTTTGTGGAACATGAATATTATCTAAACAAAATCTTGTTATTTTGCAACCCAGACAACATCTATGACGCCTCAGAAAAATGATCTATTGAAGTCTGAACGGTGTTCTGGTAGTATTGAATATTTGACTTTGTGTTTCACTTACGTATGTATGCTCAAATTTGGCTGCAGAGCTTACCATAGATCGGCCTCATTGTTTGCTGAAATTATCTTGACAAACGCATGATATAGAAAACAACTTATTTAGAAAGAATTTCATTATGTATAACATATAGTACAGGGTTATCCATTTCACATGGGATTTCAACTGTTTTTATACCCTTCACCTTGCACCACATTGTGGTACAGGGTATTATGTTTGTAACAGGCAAAAGGAAACGAGATAGAATATGCATAGAATCCTTTTGAGAATTTACATAGAATCACTTTTTCGATTTATGCATGTTCTCCGTTTTCCCATGTTATATTGTAAAGGACAGGTCGCATTTATTATCCGAATTGGAGGAAATTTGGCACAGATCATTTATTTGGCCTAATAACGAACCCTACTGAAATTAGGAAAAATCGGTTCAGATTTAGATGTAGCTCCCATATACATTTTCATCCGATTTTAGGTAAACAGTTAACCAAAGTCCCTATATGTCCTTCGATTTGCACGAAATTTGGCAAAGCGTACTTAATTAAGTCTAGAACGATGTGTGTTAAATTTCGTGAAAATCGGTTCAGATTTAGATATAGCTCCCATATATCGACGCCTCCGAACCATAGTACGCTAAGTCGACTTATCATGTTTTAAAATTCTTTACGTTTTTAGATACTACGGTCCTTAATTTATATTCTCTGAAATTTTTTCGGATTTCGATATAGCTCCAATATATATTTTCGACCGATTTTATGTAAATGGTGCATCAAAGTCTTTATATATATATATATCCTTGGATTTGCACGAAATTTTGCATTGCGTTTTTTTGAAATTGGTGCAGATACAGCCATAGCTTCCGTATGTATTTCGAACAGGTGTCTGATTGAGATTAAATTTTTAACAGTGTGGCGTACAGAATAGCGTGTATCAATTTTGCTATAAATCGTTTTCCATAAATTTGTCCCATGGTACGCAGACGACTCTAGATCGGCCTGACTGAAATAAAATTTATCATAGGTTGGAGAAAGGCATGAGTATGTTCCTTCGAGGGAACATTCAACTATATATCTGACCAAAATTTGCAGAATGACATGTTTAATTTCATGTTAATGGAAAAAAATGAGACGTCTGTTAAAATTCATCTGTTTAATATACCCATAGTGGTGAAGGGTATCATATAGTCGGACCCTTCCCACTTTACTACTTTCCTTACTGGTTTTTCTAATCAGTTAGAAGACTAACATTGACGGAAATGGATCGATAAACTATCACACAACGCATGGAAATCCACATATCGTGCTTAAGGCGGAGATTATGGATTTCATAATCGTAAAACTGAAGAAAATTGTCGTGTTTGGGGTTCTGAGAATCTTCAATATACTTGATGATTCTCAGAACCCAAAATCAGTCCGTTACATCCGGAAACGATGCTTGGTCCGAATGTGTGATGGAAATACAACGGATACATGTTACATACCACACAATATGCCTTCATTGCAAGATATATTTCCTAGCCGCGAAATACCTCGAATGGTTGCATCAAGTGAGCACGGAGATCGATTTGACACGATTAGACTTTTTTGTGGCTACCCGAAAGACCGACAAATTCGGTCTTCTAATATTGCGCATAATGACTTTGGGTTTAGAAACACCTACAATGGGTATCAGAAGCCAAAGCACAAAAATTCATATTTTTCACATACGTCATTAATAGACAGTCTATATGTGGTGCATGCGAAAGCAAAAAAAGTAAATCCTTACTCATTCTACGTCTTCCTCCTAAAGTCGTTTGTGGAGACAATATTACATCCTGGACGAAATGTGAACATTTAAATTTCTATTTCGATATCCGAAAACAAAAAAGCGAAATTGGTGTTACTAATCTAATTAAATATTTTTGTTTAAGTTCAGATAGACCAATTTAATTCGGTTTTTGTGCGCAGTTGAACTTGACATTATGCGCAGTGGGCTTGAGTTGATTCAATTCCAGTGCGCAGTGACCCTGTTTAGTTGCAATATCATAATTTTCAAGGCTGCATTCGATAGACAGTCCATGTGTGGTGCACAGAAATTAGCGTAGGTAATATCATATATAAAATTTGGAAAATGTACAAATTAACTATGTATTTAGAATGCGGCGCCCAATCGTAATATTATCCGTACAAAAGTGAAATAAACCCTATACTCTTGATCAAAATTTTCGAGGTGTTTTCAGGACAACGTTCTCGTAGGATTAAATATATTCGTTGCGTTTGGAAAATAAATTTTCACTCTTCGAATATTTGACCGGCTTATTTTTTCCCCAGAATTTCACACCAAAGTTCAATCGACAGTGGTCTGCACTCTTTCACATGGTAATGGCGTCTGTATTTTGGAATGAGCATAGAATAATTTTCATTGATTATTAAATAGCGCTATTGAAAGGGAACTAATTTTCGCGTCCAGCTCATTTTTCAGACTATGGGAGATAAAAAAAATTTTTACATTTTTTTAATTTTATTGAATGAAAGCAAAAATTATCGGAAATAGCATCAAATTTTAGAATAAGTTTAGATTTGTTCGAATTGGTCACCTTTGGCACGAATTATGGCCTTCAAACGGCCAATGAAACCGTCACACGCTGCCCGAATGTGGTTCTGCGGTAATTTGGCCCATTCCCGGCGAAGTGCTTGCTTGAGGTGATCGACACTTTGGTATTTTTTAGTGCCAACCTTGTTTTCCAAAATACTCCAGACACAATAGTCCAACGGATTGGTATCCGAAGATTTTGGTGGCCATTGTGCACTGAAAATGAAGCGAGGAACCTCATTTTGTAACCATTCTTGGTTGGCGCGTGCTGACTGCGATGGTGCTGAGTCCTGTTGGAATGTCCCTGGTCTGCGGCCAAAATGTTTGCGTGCCCAAGGCTTTAAGACACCCTCCAGAATATTTTTGCAATAGTATTCGGTATTTATTCTGCCACGGTTGATTAATACGAGGGGAGAGCGACCATCGGCTGTTATGGCGGCCCACACCATCACCATGGCCGGCGCTTGAGTTCTGGTGGCCAACCGAAGGTGCAAATTTTCAGCTGACTTCTTTGGCAAGTAAACACGATCATTTTGTTTGATTGCAAACTGCTGGATAACGATGTTTTCTCATCGGAGAAAACCAAATTCGGCCAAGCGAAGCAACTCTTTAGGTCTATTGAGTCTATTTATACCCTTCACCACACTGTGGTACAGGGTATTATGTATTTGTGCATATGTTCCTTTTGAGAATATCCATATCCACATGGTTCCTTTTGAGAATATCCATGGAATCACTTTCTAAGTCGATTTATGCACCGTCCGTCCGTCTGTCTGCCCATGTTAAATTGTAAACAAAGTAAGAATAGTTTCGTCCGATTTTGAGTAAATAGGGCACGAAAACTCCAAAATAAGGCCTATTGACACACAATTTTGGACAACGTACTGTAGTTAGTATAACCTACTGTAGTTAGTATAATCCGTCCAGATTTAGATATATAGTTTCGTCCGATTTTCAGTAAATGGGGCACCAAAACTCCAAAATATGGCCAATTGACACAAAATTTTGCAGAACGTTCTGAAGTTAGTATAACCAACTTTATGGAAAGTTTTTGATGGTC